GCTATGCCAGGCTGAGGCTGTAGAAAACATAATTCCACCCTAACACAGCTACTCCCGATGTACTGCCAAATGCCAGCTATTATATACTTACCCTCCAAGAGCTGGACTGAGAGACAGTCTGCGATTTCTCGTCAGTCTCTTTTCTGTTTATGCCTTGTATCTGAAATAAGTCACCGGCAAAAGGTGGAGAGAAAGCACTTACGTGGCCATTATTTTGCATACAAACATTTAATCACAGAGACACATGCTCACAAACTTATACACATGCGTTCACACACGCACGCACACCATTGCCAGGCATAAAAGCCCTCTAGTCAGCTGCCTGCCAATAATGATCCTTCTCTGGCAGCGTGAGTGCGTAGCATGAATATGTCGCTAACCAGCTGCAGTCACACTGCTCACACATCTGCTTTTTATATTATGTACTTGGTACATTCTGAAACACATTCTCTCTCAATCCCTCGCAATTTATTGTATACCTTTCATCCCATTCCTTGTGTCCATTTGCTGGTCTCTGAATGGGACACTGTTGTGGTTAGTTGAAAAATCTTCGCAGTGAGACATAGTTAAACTAACCAGACTAAACAGAGAAGTAAGTCTGTGCAGCTGGCCAAAGATTCCTCAGCAAACAGTGCAGCAGAAAAAGCACAAAGATTCGTTTTTGTGTCTTTTGTGGGAGCAGTTGTGGGGATTTAGCACATTTCCCACGTCGTTAAACGTTTATAAAATCACAAAAACTTAATAGACATTCTGGTCTCATCCTACAAAATCTCTCTGTCGCCGTCTGACAAGTGTTGAGTTGGGAATGGGGAGAATTGGGTTGGAGGGTGTGCAGAGTGTGCTACTACAACCTGACATAATGTTGCCTCATCCTGAGATGTGACGTGCACTGCACATTTAAGTCACCGGCTGCAAAACACCAGAGTCAGACATGACAGAGTGGTAGACTTTAAGGATGGAAAAGAGGGTGGTGAAAGGGAAAGTAACAACTTTAAACCAGCTGGAGGGGCTGACAAAGGATTCTTTTTAGTGGCAATCCTGATTGGCACCCAATGATGTCCCTGGGCATTTCAGACTCGTAAAACTTTAATATGCAGTTCAATAACCATTTTCCCCTCATCCCGCCTCTATTCTTCCACAGAGGGATTAGAGTGGCAGGGCTCGGCCTCACAAGAAATGGGAAAATGAGTGGCAGAGGGTTGTCCAAAGAAGGGGAAAAGATGCCAGGCATTACAAGACCACCAGTAGAACTGAGCAAATTGGAAAAGTGCCCATGCAAAAGAATTACTTAGTACTTCAGGGTCTAGAGGAAGTAATAAGCCTCACTCACAAGTCTGAGACGTTGACCACACTGAAATAATTTCTCCCAAAATCATTAAACTACCAATGGGGGAACAGTTAAATAACAACACCAGCCTTGTTGGAGGTGTTGTATGCCATTATTTGTGTAAGTGTAATTTAAATGATGAAATAACCATTAAAATGCCATTTTACCTTTTTCTACAGTTTCTTGGCCACGAGGAGTCTTTTTCTGTTGACTGTATTTATTTCTCAGTAAAGCAAAAGTCTCAAGTGACGAGGCAATGCTTACTGGAAGATCTTTCACTTTGTGTGACTGTAATCACTGACTTCGTTAACAACACCAGGTCTATCCAGCTACAACACGAGGTAACACATTTGGAGAACATTTGTAAAACATCACGCATTTCACATTGCAATGACGAAACTAACTCCCTACAAAATTCAGAGGAGTTCAACAGCTCAGAAACAGCTGGGCACTGACCTTCTCCGTGCCAACCTTCTCTGAAAACTCATACACAACTGGTCTAGCCGTACATACGGTACAGAGAGGGCTAATATTTTACACTTATTGACTATAAGTGCTATAATATCTAAACTCAAAGAGGACAGGCCTCCTGATGATGACATAATGATGCTTACATACATATTTACTTTAAAAGGTCCAGTGTGTAGGATTTAGGGGGATATATTAGCAGAATTTAAATCTAATAAAATACGAATGTTCATATTTACATAGCGAGCAGGTCCTTCTCCACAAAGGTCACCATGTTGCATCACCATGTTTCTGCAGTAGCCCAGAATGGACAAACTAAACACCGGCTCTAGATAAGACCGTTTACAATTTTGAATTGGCCACAGTCAGTAGCAGCCCCTCCGTGACAAGCAGTGTGGGTAAAACTGCTTTACTCAGTGTTTTCACAAGTGTAAATCACCAGGTTTGTCTGTTTTGGAGAAGAGATCTCCGCAGATAATTTGGCTCCAAGTGAAAACCTCCAGAACATCTGGATCTTAAGTTATCAGAGATAAAATGTGAGCACACACTAGCAGGAGCTGGGCTATCAGCCCGTCTGCAACATGCCCAACAGTGTAGGAAAAACACTAATTTGTAATGTGTAACTGCTTTATTCAGTGTTTTTACTGGTTTAAATCACCTGGTCCGTTTGGTTTGAAGGGGAAGGGACCTGTGCAGATAATTCGTCTCCCAGAAAAAACCTGAACAATGAACACTGAAGAAAAGCTAACCTGGAAAAGTTAGAGCCGAACTGCAATAGTCACCACTAGATGTCACTTAATTCCCCTAAATCTAACATACTGGACCTTTAACAGTGGGACTGGGATGACATTTAGCTTGTGGCTACATCTCTGTCTAATGTATCAGATTTCAAGTGTTGAAATAAATAAATAACGCATGTCTTCAAAAGTCTACTGATGGATGACTACAATGTGTAATATGTTATCACAGACTGCAGAATGTACCGTAAAACACATCTAGCCTATAGTTTAAGTTATTTTGATTCATCTAATCCTGCAATAGTTTAGGGGCTGCCCCTTTAAATTAAGTAATATCATACTGAAGGAGATGCATTGCAGCTGCCTCATGATGGTTTGTCTGCGGCATGGGATACAGTGCCACTGATGCTCAGCAACGAGTGTGTGTGTGTGTGTGTGTGTGTGTGTGTGCTTGTTGAAAGCTGCTCATGTACTGAAACTGAACCCATCTCACAGGCTCAACAGAATGGCTACAACTTAGCAGCTGGAAACAGTCTCCTCCTGTACAAGATTGAACTGTTGTGAAATCAATAGTAAAGCTCAACTTATCTCAGACTACACTGATGTGCTTATATCAATAACACCTTAACTGCCTCAGGTAAAATATCAGTCACATGGACATGAGTAGATGTCCACCGCCTTTCACCCTCATGCACCAGACAGCCATAAGATAACCTGAAGAAAGCTGCCACTAGATACTACTGCTGTTAGGGCTTAACAAGAGTGCCATCCTGTGGTAAAGCGAGACATCACTAATCAGAAGCTCATTTTGCTGCAGCCTAAGAGGGACTTCACTTCACAAGACAACTTGGTTGTCTTTAACTGTGACTGAGCGCATCATAAACAGTCTTGAAATGTTTGAGTTAGAGTAATTAAATGGCACAAAATGAAAGTTGGATTACTGCTGCCTGTGTTTGTCGGACAATAGGTGTGTGTTCTGTCTTTTCTATGATACTGTGGCATATGTAGAGGATATTTAGGACAAGAACAATTACATATTATCTACATATTACATTATGGTCACAGCTTTCTCAAGACAGTAAAGGCAGAGTAACAAGAACATTTTGGTTTGTTTTACAGTTAGTAAAGATATTCATGTAACTTTTAATTGTGTCAAAGAGGAAGAGCCATAGACTGCTTTAGAGCCTGACAGCTGAAATACATCTGACATGGACACGGTGTGACATGTCTGCTCCAACATGCCCACAGCAGAGCGCAACCATTATATTCAGCTGAAGCTGGTACACTGACCACCACGGGCATCGCACAACTCCTCTCCATCTATAGGCAGCTAGTCTATATTTTCATTCTCTGTGCGTGGCTCTGCAGCCATCAAACAGGTAAAACCTATAAAGAACTGTGTAAAAACTAGAACAATCTGTGATTAAAAATAAATAGCTCATTGCACCAGAGTCAATGCAAAACAGCAGAGCAACCTTCTAGGTGCTCTTAAATTTCACAGTTAAAAGAAATAAATCAAATCAATGTATCCTGTTAAAACAATCTAGTTAAGTATCAGTTAATAAAGCCTATGCCTCCAAACCCTGCACAACCAACCGCATAATCACTTGGCAAAACTGACTGTGTAGCAAGTAAAAAACCCTCCTCCACCCCACCTTAGTGACACATTGCGTCTATGTATTTTGGCCGTAAAAGAAGTGATGAGCCTGAGTCACTAAGGCCTTGTTTGGACTGTCAGCCCATATCTATTTTTGGGATATCCAAATCAAATCTAGATTGATTTTAGACAGATAGCACAAAAACACATGAAATGCAATTTTTGCAAACTGGACCCCAAACCACATTTGGATTTGGTTTAAAGTGATATTCCAATTGGAATGCGTCTCAGTCTGGATGCTCGTAGTGAATTTAAAAGTGGCTTTTGCGACATTAACAAAGTCACTTACAGTGACCGTGTCAAATACAGAGTGACAGAAGTGCTAAGCAGACACCATGCTGCTGCTAGCATAGTGCTATGGAGGAGTTTCGATGGTGGGAAGGAGGAGTTCTGCACCATGACTTGACAGCGCGATTGTTTAGAGTGCAAAATGATGGACCTCCACTTCTCAAGATTCCGCACAGGAAAGCCGCATCACCAGCGTAGCTACGTAGTTACTGACTCCTACAGCTTTACTAACAAAACCCTTGCAGATAGGTTGGTGATGTCTGGATATGATCACTTGCAAGTAACAGTGTGGACGGTCTGTCTTTAAGAGCTGATTAAGATCTAAAGAAACAGATCTAATTTGCCTGCAGTTTTAACACAGCCTAAATGACCCCTGCAATCTTGGCAAAATTGAAATAACCTGTTCCAAAAAATGTGATGCCCTTGTGCTCTCTGCAACACTAGTTATGTCAAAACAGCTAAGTACATGATAAATAACAATATCCAGAATGTATTGCTTGTATTTGAGTTAGTTCACACTTACTTTGTGACGAAGACAGTGGAGTTTTCTCTGCTTTTAGTGAAGGTGATGGGGAGGAACCTCAATGTGATATTCATCTTTCTGGCACAGGCTGCCAGCCTCTTTGTCTGGGAAACAGAAGAGTAAAGTACAGTACAGTGTTACGGCTTTAGTATTTCTGTAAAGCCCGAAAAATACGTCAAGATTCAAAACAAAACAACCCATCAGACCTTAAATAAAGATCTCACAGCAGCATACTTCAGACAACTGTTTAGTGAGACAGACTGTTACAGAATCTTCTACTCCTAGCCTTGAACAGATCTGTCAGGACCACAGACTGGCTGACATTTCAGTTCAGAGGAGAAGTCAGTGGGGGGACATCTTCTCTAAGAGCAAATAGTTCTAAATACCAAACATCTGTTCTGCATCAATAAATCCATCTGTGCAACTTTAATTAACAATTAAACCAAAGATGACCCAAACCACTTCTTACTGGTCTCATCTAAAATTTGAAAGGACGAGCGTATCTTTTCTGGAGCTCATGTGGCTCCTTCAGATTGGCGACTAGTGAGAGACAGTAAAAGAGATTTACTGAAAGGTGTGGCTAAACAAGGCTACTAACAGATTACTGCACTTGCAAAGTTCTGGAGAAAGCCCAAGTCCCAAAGCGTATCATTTGCCAAGCCTTTATCTCTCACTGAGAATAAGCGTCATTATTTTTGATTGATTTGAGACCGCTGAAGCGGCCACTGCTTGGGAAAGGCCTATAAAAGAGCATGCATTCTCCGAGCTATCAACTATCATGTTGTCACGCAGTAATAGTACAGGTGAAAGCTGGCAGGGACACAAAACCTTACATAAATGAATGTCTGTGGTTTGGAGCAACAGCAGCAAGCACTGTGTGACTACAGCTGCATATCATAGAAGTGAAGCAATAAAAGCACAAAGAGAAAAACATTTAGATGATGCTGTAAAGCTGGGTTTTTTATATTACTGTTTTTACCTTCAGATTTCAAGAGTTACTTCCATCAGATCTAATATAACAATGGACCAGTGGCATGTATATGTTTTGCTTTAAATGCAATTCAAATGATACATAAATACATTTTCTTTTTAGTGCAACTCATATCACAATCACAGTATCTGTCATAGGAATTGCAATATGATTTTTTTTTTTTGCATTATGTGCAGCCCTAAGCCCCCCCTAGCAGGACAATGCACCATGTCACACCGCAAAAATTGCTCAGGAATGGCCCAAGGAACGTGACTAAAAGCTTAAGGTATCCACCTGGCCTTCAAATTCCCCAGATCCCAACCTGATCGAGCATCTCTGGGATGTGCTGGTACCTCAGAAGTACCCCATCCACTGTGGGGCCTGCTTGGATCAGATTTGGCTCTGACCTGTCAAGGCACCTCTGTGGGTGGACCATTGTGTTTGGCACCAGGGCGCTGGTGGTGGTTCCTTGGGGTTGGTGGGGTACCAGCACACCCCACAGATGCTGGATCAAAATGGGATCTGGGAAATCTGGGGGCCAGGTCCACACTTAGAGCTCTTTGTCAAGTTCCTCTGGCAATTCCAGAGCAGTTTTTGCAGTGTGGCATGGCGCATTATCTTGCTGGGGAGGTTTCAGCTATTGCGAAGTGCCGTTGCCATAAGGGTGGTGTACATGGTCTGCAACGATGTCTGGATGGGTGGTGTGTGTCACGTGGCATCCACACGAATGCCAGGACATCAGGTTATATTTATAATTTTTTTCCAGGTCTCTCAAGAGCTGATCCTACATAGATGAATGCAGTCAACATCAGGCATATACATGAACTTCATTTGTAAATCAAGGTCGTACTTTTAAAGTGGAACGAGGAGTCCGGATGAGGCTGTCTCTGTTGGCCCCATCAGCAAATCGTCCTGTGTCCTCCAGAAGCCTGTAGTCTGCAGTGCAGATAAGGGACAAATAGTACACACACTTTCATAATGTTACTCATTCTCTAGATTTAACAGTGTATACGCTATTTTTCATGCTTAAAGAAGCACGTCTGCTGCCAACCATGATAAAAGTCATGTTATCTTAACTTAACAAACCACTTGCTAGCTAGTTCAGAGTTCTACTTGACAAAGATTATCATTAAAATTTAACAGTGTCTGCTATAAATGCTTTAGAATAATTATTGCTACAACTATTCTTGCTGTCTTCAGTTTTTCAGTCATGAGGAGAAGTAAAGAAGATACTCACCACTGAGAAGTGTCATTTCATCAAAATGTGAGAGGGTCACAAAGGCAGTTTTATTTCTTACTCCACTGCATCCTGAATCTTCTTTGTGTTTCTTCACACACAGCAAGCTGGAAAATACACACACAAAAAAGAATTTGGTAGGTAATGCTTAAACTGTTAAAAATAATTTGGTTTGGCTGCATTTCAGCTTGTCCTGACAAATGACAGCAAAAACAAAACTGGACAAAGAGAGACAGAACACTAAATGACAAACAGCAGCACAGTCCTTACTAACTGAAACAAAAGACTAGTAAAGCAGTTGGACAAACACTGCTAGATTATCTAAAGAGGTAATCATCAATCCAGAAAGATTTTTAATATCTGTGTGCGAGGAGAAAGACCCAGAGAAAACAAGTTGAAGGAAGAAGTATTTGCGCTCCACCTCCTTTCCAACTGAAACTCTTCTGGCCTCAAAAAGTTCTTACTAGAAGCAGCTGTTAAACTGTGAGAGCAGGATCGGACAACAAATTCAATGATAGTAATGACAAATTAAAAACGGGTGTGGTGCCATAACAAAATTAGACTAAATGTATTGTAGAAACAAATAAATAAGGTAAAAAAAATGAATTCAGAAAAGTATCGCTGTCAAAGTAATTGCACCTGTTCAACTGCTTGTTAATGCAAGCCAATCATGTGGCAGAAACTCAATACATTTAGGCATGTAGACATGGTCAAGACGACCTGCTGAAGTTCAAACCGAGCATCAGAATGGGGAGAAAAGTGATTTAAGTGACTTTGAATGTGACATGGTTGTTGGTGTCAGACGGGCTGGTCTGAGTGTTTCAGAACTGCTGATCTACTGGGATTCTCACACACAACCATCTCTAGGGCTTACAGAGGATGGTCCGAAAAAGAAAAAATATCCAGTGAGCTGTAGTTCTCTGGGCAAAAATGCCTTGTTGATGCCAGAGGTCAGAGGAGAATGGCCAGACTGGTTCAAGATGAAAGCAAGACAACAGAGACTCAAATAACCACTTGTTATAACCAGAAAACAGATGAAGAAGACCATCCCTTTATGACCACAGTGTACCCATCTTCTGATGGCTACTTCCAGCAGGATAACGCACCATGTCACAAAGCTCAAATCATCTCAAACTGGTTTCTTGAACACGACAATGAGTTCACTGTACTCCAATGGCCTCCACAGTCAACAGATCTCAATCCAATAGAGCACCTTTGGGATGTGGTATAACGGGAGATTAGCATCATAGATGTGCAGCCGACAAATCTGCAGCAACTGCATGATGCTATCATGTCAATATGGACCATTGGACCTTTTTGAATCTATGCCACAAAGAATTAAAGCAGTTCTGAGGGCAAAAGGGGGTCCAGCCCAGTACCAGCAAGGTGTCCCTAATAAAGTGGCCGGTGTGTGTTAGTGTTGGGACATAGGATGTCCAACACAATTATTAAGCTTGTAAACATACTCATATAGAGTCCTTTAGAGTAAAAGTAGAAAGGAGCACCTACACATAATGCTCAAACAAGGACATCTTCAGAGTAGCCTGTCAACATTTTACAAAATGGCAGATGTAATATGTGAACTGAAACCAACTGCTGGTGGAAGAATGTAAAACATTGTGTCCCCAATCACTCCCCTCGTTCCCTTTTTACTTAACGATCAAAATATTTCCACCACCACTGCCCTTCTGCACTTTTGCCAAAGATGTCTTAAATCAAACACAACTGAAACTAATATGAAGAAGTGCCTATAATGGGCTCTCTCAAAAATCCCACTAACAAAACACATAAAAAACTTAGGACTCAATCCAAGCATGGAAAGACCGATTTTGCTGAGAGACAGGTATTTGGCCGGGGTCGGACAAAAGACCATATCCCTAGAAACTATGTAAAAGGAATGCTGAATGCTGCCCAAAACAACAGCCAACCATGAGAGAAAGGGGAGCGACATCCCCTGGCGCCCTTTGATAAATCCTAATGACATTTTGAGGTATGACCTTCAATATGCCATTAAGTATTTGAAGGTTAAGTTGTAAATGCTTCAGCATCCACAAAATTCGAGGAACAGGCCGTGGACCACTGCCACTACCTGCTGCATGCTGTTGCTGGCCATAAATCAAAAGGAAAGTTCAGTCAGTAAAAATAAAAACATGCAACATAAATATTTTGTTGCTGCACGCAAAGGTAGCAGAGACTCTGTGTAACTATGTGTTACATAATCCTTTAGTGATTATTGTATTTCAAAAAGCAGAACTACTTTTTTATTAGTGATATCATACACAGATGGAATATAGCTTTTATGCTGCATGTAATAATATGATCTCATCATAAAAACAGAGCAGAAGAACAAAAGGAAAATCAGATCACAAACAGAACTCATTGTATTCATGTGATCCCACTGCAATTTCATCAGTATAAACAAGTGTTTTTCTCTGATGACATGATAAAGAGTTATTAACTCTGCTGGCAATCATGCTTATAGTTGTTAAATCATCCAAGGCCATGAACAAAAGGAACTACTGCAAGTAGGGCTGCAATGATTAGTCAACTAATCGATGACTAATCAACTATTAAAATAAACTGTGACTATTTTAGTAGTCGACTAATTTGTTTGAGTCATTTTTCATATTAAAGTACTATAAAAGTACCCCAAAATACTCTTATTGCAGCTTCTTACGTTCAAATAGTGGCAGCTTTACAAACTCTCCCATGACGGTGAACTAAAACCCTTTGGCGTGAGTACTGAACAAAAAAAAAATGACATAGTTTTTGGGTTTGGAAGAGACAGACTGACATTTTTCAACATTTTAACACATTTTTCAATAAAATGATTAGTTGACTAATTGAAGAAATAATTGACAGTTTAGTCGACGATGAAAATAATCGTTAGTTGCAGCCCTAATTGCAAGTTTTAGTGTGACTATGCCACGTGAATGTGATTCCTGTGTTCCTTCTGACTAAATTACAAAAGATGGCCGTCCCTGTAGCAAATGTTTACTGCCACTATTCATGGCATACTCTCCAATACAAACATGTAAAGTCTTTGAAATACCGCACCGAAAGATCATTTCAGCTAAATCAGAGCTTGTGTTTTAAGTTAGGTCACGGATCAGCTAAAGTGTAATTCTGTTTTTCATGTAACCTACATTTTACAGCAACTTCTTCTGTTAGTGTACTCCTGAAATGCTTTTTACTAACAGAAGTAATCAAAAGCAACAGTGCACAGGCACTGCTAATATTTAATGTTAGGGTTTCAAGTATAATATAGAAAGCATATGGGTAGCCTCAGCCTTGTCACTATTTTGTCACTTTCTCTTTCCTCTGTAGTTTGATTTGTTCATCATCCACAGATATATTTAAATAGTTTTTATTGCCATCATATAATTCCATATATCTTACTTGTTATACAGCTTATATATTAATGACATTTCTTTTTTTCTGTAACTGACAAATTCTGTGAGTAGGTGTGTCATCCAGTGATACGTCAGAATAACAAACAAATTTCCCAAGTTAGATAATGACAGTAGTTAGAGAACAGGTTTTAATTTTTAAAGTATGTTATCATAACTTTAAAATTATCATTTAAAAAAACATCTTTGATCACTTTTCATATTTAAAATTGTGCCTGCTATATTTCATAGTTCCTTCAGGTTTTCTTCTCTCAGAATTTCAACCTCCCTGTACAGCAACAGAGGGCTGAGATAAAAAATAAAACAAATAAAAGATACAAATACAATACAAAGAGCACCATATACAAATACACAAATATATGTACATCTGTGCGTGTATACTCATGCACTCACAAACACACATATATATATACACATACACCAGAAAAAACAATGTAAGAAAAAAATAAATAGTACAAATATAAAAATAGAGTAAAAGAAAATTTAAAAAATACTCTAAGTAAGGTAGTGCTCCCCTAGATGACTGTCACATCTAACATATGAATAGTGTCCATAAATATGAGCAAAAGATGACTTTATGGTAGTAAAACACGTCTATAAAAATTTACACTTGGGGCAATGTCACATAACATAACAAAGTGATATAATAAGTATATTTTATTTTTCTTTAACCTTTATTTAACCAGAACGTCTCATTAAGATTGAAGTTTCTTTTACAAGAGAGACCTGGCCAATGTAGCAGCCAATTATATTGAACTCTGTAGGGCAGCAGGTAAGTTTCGCATACCCACACACACACACACATACACACACACACACACACACACAAAGTCAGACAAAGAAAACAACATAATTTTAAGTCACAGAGATGTGTTTGTCTTTTCTATGCCTTTAAGTCTGTGACTGAGACCCTCTCAGCTTTGGTTAGAGAGCTACTGCTTATTTGTCAGCAAAATAACTGCATAACTTGTTCAATAAACCCACCTGCAAGAATGGCCAAGACAGGCTGGACATCTGTACTTCGCCTCCTCTGATCCACACACACCACAACTGCAGGACAAATAACATGTCAGCATGGTGCACACACACTGTGGGCTGTGTTACAGTTCAACTGAAACACCTGTGACAGGATGAATAACAGGGACAATAGTGCTTTAAACAACCCACTGACTGAAATGCAACTTCCCAGGAAGACATTAAACCCTCTACACTTAAACACTGACCAAATTAAGGGCAGTATAAGTCAAAGAAACACGAAATAAGAGGATAAAGACAGGAAGAGATAAAGACTGACGGCAGTTAGAGAGTTTTGTGGGCGGTGTCGTCTGATGTAGCAAACTGACTTTGAAGCTAACGTTAGCTAAAGTTAGCTAACGAGCACATAACGCTACGTGGGGCTTTTTTAATATGCCGTTAGTTATATAAATATATCTTCATGTCTAAACAAAAGTCAAAACGGAGTTCTAGCGAAACATTAAAGCAAACATGTTAGCGGTTTACATGTGAGCTAACTTGGGATAGCAGTTTGACATCCTGACTTCCTGTCTGTTAAAACACTCACTTGGAGAGAGAAATCTTCCTTTTGGTCGCTTTCAGCTCTTCTTCCGGGACGCTGCTCTCCACTTGGCTCTCTGCAGTCGACATTATGTCTGTTGTTGGCACAATTACAGAGCACATGACAGGAGAAAGGCAGCCGCACATTGGATACTACCCGGCGGCATCAAAACAAACCGTCTTCCGCCGGTGGCCGCGTGCAGCACGTGGAGATGAGTTCCGGCTTGAAACCTGCTCATTGGCGCCTCACAGTGTTGGTGTATGGGAACTGCAGCGTCCTCCAGCCACAGTGAACACACTGACGGCTCAGATGACATAAAGAATGCAGAGCTTTTGTTTTCCACAGTTTAGATTAGGGGTGTCAAACATACGGCCTGTGGGCCAGTACTGGCCCGCCAAATGCTCAAATGCGGCCCACTAGATGACTAAAAGGTGCCAGGTTTTGGGAGCGAGGTAAACAATGTGTTGCCTACTTCATGTAAAAGTCTGCTAGAGGCTGAGCAGAGTACAGTTCAAATACTCACTGTGACCATGTTTGAAGATGTTGAACATTATGCAACATTTTGTCAATCAGCAGCTTCAGCTGATAAGAATCTGTATCAGGAAATGTATGGATGTATTGACAGTGAGAAGTAGACTGACTGAATGTGGAAAAACCAAGACATACTGTTGAAATTGCACTTATTTTTCTTAAGACATCTCAAGCTGTTCATCTGTTTTGTAAAAGGATGAATGTCTACAGAATGTACTTGTAACTCTTTAGACAAAAAAGGGAAAATATTGGAGCTACTTATGGGTTATTGTGCGATGGTTTTATTGGTCTGGCCCATGTAAGATCAGATTGGGCTGTATGTGGCCCATGAACTAAACTTAGTTTGACACCTCTGGTTTAAATGGTAACCCCATGCTAGAGAGATTAAAACATGAGTAGTATCCAGCTTTGTATATGATACTCATAATTCACCTCACTGTGGATTTTTCAGAGTATTAAGGTAAGATGAACTCATCCTCCATTTGGAGCGCGTGGCTGAAATGAAGCCAGAATGCTTATCTGGAATACAGTCTTCATTGTTACTTTTAAATATATGAATTTCTCTCTTCTCTCTTATTATAAACCTTCATTTGACAAATATAGCATTAATTAGTAGCAACACCTTTTTTTCCCCAAGAACACCTTTATCATGCTCTTTCACATTCTCACCTGGAGGCTGCCCTGAACAACCACAGTGTTAGCTGTTGTCTAAGCAGCTCTCTCTAAGTGTTAATGAGGGGGGCATTGTTTAATCTATCCATTGAAGATTTATCCTGCCCAGTTCCTGGTATCAAGGTTTCTATAACCTTTAGTCCACTGCTAATCTAAAATAGATGTGTTAATAGGAAACAGCAGCCTGTGTGTAGGCCGCTACCCCTGACACTGGAGAGTCATTTGATCCCAACATATTGTTTGACTTTGACGTGTATGACCATTTCAAAAAAGTACAGAACCATTTGTGGATAAAATGCTCCATTTATTTGTTTGTCAACATATTTATTATTTACACATTTGCATCCACCTTTATCCTGCCTGACTTTATATAATTACACTTTGTTCAAAGTAACATAACTTAAGAATATAATGACTGTGTTGTCTGTGTATTCTGACTCTGGCCTACTGTAGCTGCCAGTTCACCTAACCACCACTGAATGAACTAAACTAACAGTATGATAAACATACAGTCACAGGTGTGAACACACAAACGCATCTCTTAAACATAAATACTTCTTTAAACTGAGCTGTGGTTGACCAAATAGTTCTCTGAGAGTATAACTTACTGTGGTACAGTAATGTGAACAAAAAAAACAAACAAAAAGGATATAAATAAACATACAGTATGCTGTCAATATATACACAGGAAATGTAAAAACTCACTGATGACTCATTCTTTGTTGCAGCACCAATGATAGGTTTCCCCTGAAGAACCTACAACATAGAAGGAAAAGCTACAAAAATATGTAGTGTATCAAAAATGGTTCATAAATTAGAAATGACCAAATCAACATAAGTACTTAGACAACATAACAAATCTTGATGTAACCGGTACATACAACACAAAGGCAAAAAAAAAGACTAACTTGACATTAGCAACTATTCTAGAAAGCAAATGAGCAGGTAGAGGTAGAGCACCATCTGTCAAGATGTACAGGTCCAACTGGGCAGGACCGAAGACAAAAATATCATGAAAACAATGTAAAATATAGCCTTTGATTGGAAAATGAAATATTTAAAGCAGTCACACATTATCCACATGCTATTGCACTCATTAAAACCTTTAGTTAGACAGTGCTCCGATGTAGAGGCCTGGCACGCTCCTTCGGGTTAGGCCTCTGTTTAGGATGGTCTGGGTGTGTTTCGGGGTGAGAGGGGAGTGTGAGTTTTGGGTTTGGATAGGCTGCTGCTTAGTAAGACCCCACCCTGTGATCAGGGAGTGATGGGGTCCATGCACAGCCAACCTAGGCACCGTTTGACTAATAATTATCAACAAAACATTCTTTATACAATTATTGATAAATATTGGTATACACTGTTCTCCTCTGGCCTTCTTGGCCTGGGTGTTCCACAGAGATTGAGTTCTTCCATGCAGGTCTGCCTTCGACTGGACATGGGGCAGTTGTTGTTCTGATACGTCCCATTAACAGCTTCAGACAAATACAACAAACTCACACGGACACTCACTCTTTGGTAGGCAGCCATTTTTTTGTAACAGCCTTGCATTTTAGTAGTTCATGTAAATCGGTTACAGGACGGTGATGTTGGTGTCAGAGGAAGCAGACTGGACTGATTTCTATATGACGCTGACTATTGGGCTGCGATGCGGGGAACTCCTGTATGTCTACAATAGGTAGCTGACGACTGTCCTGAGTATGGAAGAAGAAATGTGACTGGTGCCAGCTGCCATCTTGGATCTGGAGGAGAGAAAAAGAGAAACATCATTCCAGTGATTCATATATCACATTGAAAAAGTTCAGATTGATTCGAATGTGCTCTCTGTCCTGCTCCTTACCTTGCACTCGTCTTGTAGCACATGTGGTTCAAGTAGTGTGTCTTTCTCAAACATCTGTTTGTTCCAGCCACGAAAACGAAGTGTGGTGTTCTCTTGCGGTGGGGATGCAGTCGAGCTGAAGCTGTCTGTGGTGCCGTAGGGAGGATTATTTAGGCAGTGGAGAGTGATGCTGTGGCTGGCCTCAGTACTCAGTAAATGGAGAAACTTCATTTGGACTTTCCCTACTCCAAACACCATCTGTGACAAAGAGCAGGATAAGAATATCACCAGTCTGCTATTATAACCACAACAGGATAAATACAATACAATGCAAGTGTTTTAAAAAGCTACAACAAAACCTCCAAGGGACAATACTTCAGTGTTACCTTATTAGAGGCCACTGGATGTAAACAGGTCTGCCCTCCTGCGGTAAAGTTGCAGAAAACCTTGAAGGCATCAGAAGTGCAGCCCAAGTTTGGATCAATCCAGAACCAACCTGAGAGTCCCCAGTTCAAAGGAAGGACGGGGAGTTAGTGAGACAGGGAGAGCAAGACAAGTATTCACTAAAAGGTAGATACAAACATCTAAAACCCTGCCAACCCATTCTTTCAGTATCAGGTGGATGAGACTCTCACCATCCCTGAGCTTGCGATGACAGTCAAGCAGATCTTTACAGACACGAGCCGGGTTCTCCCTCGTGCCCAAAGGCTTTTTGATGCTCTCAATGACGCTGCTTAGGTAACGAAGAGTCTTGAGTATCTCCGTATTCTGGTCTGGCAAGCTCATCTCTGTGTTCTGGAAACTCTGGTTAATGACAAAAACAAAGTTGTCAGACCCCAAGATTATACATTTTATGTCTTCATTCTAGTTATAATATGGACAAAAAGTGCAAAACAGAAATTGTAAAGAACAAATTCATTAGTCTGTCCATCTGAAAACCTATCTCCTATCCATGCAATAATCCACACATCCACCCTGTCCACTGACTGAGTGTATTAGTTCCTTACCTCTGTCCTGAGGGCACTGTTAGAGTCAGATAAACCGTAGTCTGCTGAGTCATCATATATCTGCCTCTGTGGATTCAAAATCAACATATTTATCAGTTTAATGAAAACATAACAGATTTGCCCCCCTGATTATTATTTAACTGAGAGATTTTAATCCATAGGCTTTTTCACTGGTTATAGAAAACATGGCTGTTTCAATACACGTTCAGTTTATAGAGAAAACTTTAATAGAAAAAGAATACACTTTAATACCAGAGACAAGCAGTGAAATAAGGCTTGCATCAATAAACCCGGACATTCCTGACTTCAGTAGGGGCAAGAATAACACATTCCACTCAACATAAACACTAAAGTTATCACATAATGTGTGTCAACAAAAAAAGGCATCTGATATAGTTGTTTTCCTTGGTTCTTAGAAATGTTTGAGCAGGAAAAGGTCAGTCAGATAGCAGAGAGCTACACTTGATCCACAAGTTATGACGGATACAAGATGTGAGGAGGGTTTCTATAACAGTGCCAGAACAGGCTGATCATGGATCTACTCCGCCAATGCTACTGAAAGAAAATGTTCTTCTTGCACGTCTTATCACTGACATGGATGATTTGTTGGCTTGTCTATAGTTTAGCAAATGCGCAAAATAAAAAATGCTTCTCCTGGCTCTACCACATCCTGGCTTTGCTCTGCTGTTTTTTCTCTATTTCTGGAAAAAGTCTATTGAAGCTTTGACAGTCACAAAGCTTTGGTTTCAGAAACAAAGACAGGGTTACTTTCCAGGCAGACTGAAATTAAGAACAACAGGATGAGGATACAGGGTTTAGTCAAATATATAAATAATGCCAAGGTCATTTTGGGACTCATAATATTCACTCCTGGTTTCAACCATGGTTTCTGTTCCTGTAATTCATTCATTTCTGTAGCCGCTTATCCTGTTGAGGGTCGTGAGGGGCTGACAACCCAGCTGACATTGGGCGAGAGGCGGGGTACACCCCGGTCAGGTCGCCAGACTTTCACAGGGCTGACACAGAGAGACAGACAACCATTCACATTCATATTCACACCTATGGCCAATTTGGATTGTGGGAGGAAGCCGGGAGTGCCCGGAGAAAACCCACGCTGACACTGGGAGAACATGCAAACTCTGCACAGAAGGACTCCTCCACCCTGGGTTC